GGGAAATATAAAGAGTGGAACTTATTGGAGTAGGTGTAACGAGAAAATGTGAAATTAGGAAAATGTGGAGGGCGAGAAAAATACTTCGCTGTATTTATTTATATTTTAGTGTAAGGAGAAAATATGAAATTAGAAAATGTGGAGTAAAAGAAAATTTGAAGAAGAAAAAAGTGTATAGAAAAATACTTTACTCTAATGTTTTATATTTCAGTGTTTGCTGTGTCACAAATTATGCCAATTTTCCACAGTTTATCGTACAATTTTCCAATTTCGCTAATTCTTGCACTCAAAGAATCAAAAAAATACACAATAAAATTGGAGAAAAAATAAGAAATGTAGAAAGATACTTTACCAAACTATACTTTACCACAAATTACCAGCACATTTACCGTTGCACAGTTGACAGTAGCATTTTCCAATTTGGAAGCTCTCCTGCACTTAAAAATTTCCTTCTCCCCGACGAACTTCTGCCTCGACCCAAATAATTGCATCGACCAGCCACGAAGGAAGTCGAAAAACGTCGGTGGAAAGACGGGGGCGGACAAGCGGCAAGAAACTTTCGATACCGGAAGCGATCCAGATGTCATCGAGCCTGGTGGAGGGGGAATTTATCGCCGTGGAAATTACGCGCGGCGAAAAAGCAACTTTCTGGATAGACGGAATAATAGACTCCCTTTCTGTCCTCTGTTTCTCCCTCTTTAGATGCGTATACTGGGTGAACCACGTATCTCGATTACCTCCGTCATTTTCGTTAAATATTTTCCAGTAGACAGACCAACATTTTTTCGTCAAAAATGATAAAATTGCTGTAGAAGACCTAAACGTTAAAATTTTCTGTCCTTTTTTAAATAAATTTCCAAAGTTAACTTCAATCTTACTATGCACAACTCTACAGTTTCTGTTTTTCTTTTTTGGTTATCAAGGACCCAAACATTTTTCTCTAATTTTTAAAATAAATTTTCCGTTTCTTCTTTGTTCTCTATGCCTTCTTTTAAACGAATTTT